CTATGTTAGTCCATGGTGGCTAAATATCAGTAACCTGGTAGTATCTTCTCTGATCATCACATTTTATTGAAAGGCATAAGCCTTAGTGAACTTCTCAGGAGTACAGAACATCAACAGGTTTAGGAAGTTGAAGAAGACGTCTTTCTGTGCGATGTTGGACAAACGGTATCCAGATATTTTCAGTGTGGTTCCATCTTCCTTTTTCTTTCTCACTTGCTTTCCTTGGTTTGAGTTGCAATTATCTTACCCTCTCCCCTTTGGACACAGCCTTTGCTAAAAGTGTTGGGTATTCCTTAGGCTGGCTTTGTCTCTTTCTCCAGATTAGGAAGAAGCGGGGTGGGATGGAGGTCTGGGAAGGGGAAGAAATACAACCTTTGCTCCAGGCAAAACAGGGAGGGGAAGAAAATGAAGTCAACAGCAGCAGCAGCAGCAGCAAATAACTCTGGGCCTGCAGCTTTCCAAATTCTTCGGGAAAGAAGCAGAAGGGGGAAGGACCAGGGAAGGCAGCTTGGAAACTTGAAACAGAAGATGAAGAAAGGGGAATTAGAGTAGGAACAAAAGAAACAGCCCCTGGGTTGGGGGAGGAGAGACAAACCAGAACAAAGATACAGCTTTTACCTGGGGGGGGGGGGGGGGAGGGGAGCTCATGAGTTTAGACAAGTAGGATTTTTTTTTTTTTTGCACCAACTGTGGATGCTGAGGTTAATGGAGGCATTATTCTTCACTACCCCCAGTGAAAACAAACAGGTTAAAAGCAAATCAGAGCAAGCAAGCAGAGTGATTTGGTCCAGATGCTAGGCAGAACAAACATGAATGAATCAATACAGCAGAATCCAACATAATAGCTAGTTAAAGGGGTTGGTGTGAAATGACCAAGTCATGAAATAATTTGGATGCAAATATACAGGAAAAAAGTTAACACATTATATGAAAACATTTATCCATTCTTAATGAAAGGGGTAGAAGATTAGGAAGGCAGACAAGGGCTCCTGCAGCAAATGGACTCTAGTGCTTTCCTTCAATCTGTGCAATGACAGACAAATATGTTGTCATACTGGCATAAATTGCGATATGCTGCATTTGTACTGATACAACATGCAAAGTACTTTTGAATAATTTTCATTTTTGCATAACCATCAGAGATTTTCTGGTAATAACAGGGATGTGGTTTGCCACTACCTTCTGTGATTTTCCCCCTGCCCCACACAGTTTTTTACTCTAGGTTACTGCATACTATTTCCTGGTCCTCTTACACATTTTGACTGTTTAACTTTTCATATCTAATCAACACTTTTAATAAGATAAAAACTAACACAAGCTAGTATAAAGCAAGGAAGAAAAAAGAAAAAGACATCAAAGCAAAAAAGTGAAAGAAAAGCAAAAAGTGAAAGAAAAATAGAAAAGAAAGAAAAAAGATAAAGAAGTGGCTTCAGATATAAGTATTAATATATTTTAACTTTTCTCTCTAAATGTCTACAGATATTCTCAGTCATCCAAGTCATGGTTTTCCCAAAGGTGCTTTTTTCAAGTGGCAACTGGACTTTCTGGTTTTTCTTTGAAGACATTTCACTTCTCATCTGTTGAAAGAAATGTCCTTCTGGGTTCAGCTCCAAGTGGGAAAGAAGACACTGGAGACATGGAGGCTGCTTGGAAAGATGGTTTATTGTTGGACA